AGTATTTGTACTCCACTACTTCCCACCTCTGTCCAAAAGTAGCCGTCAAACAGCAGCTCGGAAACTAGAACTGTCCCTGAAATGTACTTTTATTTAAAAGTAGAGCTCTGCAAGATATCATGAATGAATCAAACGGACATAAATATTGATTTACCATTGTGTTTTGCACACACACAATTAAGAGTTATGCGTCTGTAACTCTTTGAATGTCCTGATTTCATACTGAGCGGCCAATAGAGTACTTTTTATTTAGCCATAATGACGCAATTTTCCCAATCTAACAGCATCTGAATCATTAAAACCCGCATTTGTACATTAATTGAAATCAGGTGTGTACAGTTTAGAGCAACACCACATGTTGTTCAATGCAATAAAACATGTCTGCACGTTTGAAGCAGTAGAGCCTTAATGTATGTGAATTGGAATTGCAATGTGAGGCTGTATGACAGATGCAAACGATGTCAGCTTTTGTTGTAAATTTGTCATCAAATGTGAGTGAATGTGCTGCAGGGTGCAGAGGCTCTGACGGAGGCTCTGACGGAGGCTCTGACTCACAGAAACAGAGAAGGACTTCTGAAATGAATGATAGCATCTCAAAGTCTCTGGGTCTGTGTGAACAACGGGACCCTCACTTGTTGATTTGAAGTGCCTTTCAACGTTTCACTCTGCTGCTTCCCGTTGGGATGCACACAGTTTGTTCAGATAATCAAAAGGTTTGCCCGTCTGAGGCCATAAAGTTGTATTTGCTTTAAAAAAGCATGAAATGTTTAAAAAAACGTTTGATTTGTTTAAATGAAGGGACTTTTACTTTCTCTTGAATGTGTTTTGTTCAGAACAACCAGCTCCTTTCCCCCGGAGCCTTCGGTCTCTTTAGATTAGTTTTTAGTTTGGAGTGAACACACGGTAAGAGCCGCTGTAGAAGTCTGACCTTGAAAACATGTTGAAGCGTCCTTTGTAACAAACTGAACCCCAAATGGCTCCGTGTGGTGAGTGAGCTCTCGAGAACAGTGTTAGTAACTCATTATAATCTTACATAACTAAACATACGCACCAAATCGATCAGCTACAGGTTGCTAGGAGGAATGATTTATTCATAATACAAGGTTTTGACCTGCCTGTCTAAAGGCCGAATTCGATAGATGTCAGGCCGTCGATGAGTGTCGTGTCGCCCTACTCAGATTGGTGTGTCCCGCACCGTCGTGTCTTTTTGGCCGTGCCGACACCTTTTTGACCAATCGGCCAAAAGCTGTCGGTCAAATAAATCACTCTGATTGGCTGTTCAGTGCATGAGAAGTGAAACGGAAGTGAGGGACCCAAACAAACGATTAAGAAGGCACACACAGACGGCTATTGTTTTTCATTTTCATCTCAGGTGGACACCAGAGTTTATTTTTCATCATAGCGATCTGGAATGAAGAAACCGAAGACCAACGCACACGCTATTTGTTGTTTGTATATATCACCCAGTCAGTCTTCCGGTTGCCTCTTTTGAATGACGGATACACACTACCGCCGCCTGCTGGTAAGAAGAGTTATTGCCACTCACGCATGCGCAGTGCGTACGTGCTACTTGGCCGTCGGCTGAAGTCTTTGCGGTGTGTTCCAGTGTATATATATATGCAGGAAATAAAGATGAGTTTATGCAACAGGACATTAAGGATGTAAGACTTCTACAGCGGCTTCTTCTGTGTTGCGTTCAAGTACCTTCTCAATATTTGCTTTCCTGTCTTTGCTCTCAGTCTAATCCTGCAGTTGTTTTATAGACGCATGAAGAGGAACAGTTGTATAACGAGTAATAACTCAGAAATCTGTATGCACTTTAAAGACACCCTGAGGTACAAGGAAACAAATTATTATTTTTAATTCCTCCATAAACTCAAGTGTAGATGTTCAATTGTGACTTTTATTAACAAAGCCTTTGTTACTTGATGAGTTCTACAGAAGAGACACAAACAAATATACATTTTCTATTTGAAAGTATATTTTTTCAGAGCTGTACAAATGCAAACATTTAGCAATTATGTTTTTTCCCAAGTTTGATCGAACCTTCCCTCGGAAACTGGAATCTTTTTCTGACATCACTTTATTTTCTGTGGTTGAGGGAAGCGTGTGTTTCATACTGTATGAGAGTTTTTGTAAACTGAAGGTACGGTGGAGAGACGCCTTGATATGTGAACTGTGAGAATTTTTTTTTTAAAGTAAATGAAGAACAAAGCTGTTTCTTACTCATAGGAAAAAAGGGACACTGATGTCCAAAGAAATGTATAAATGTATTTGTTCAATCAACTATATTTCCAGTAAAACTAAAGATTTTAAGAACGTCTCTGTTTGTCATTCTTGTTTACATCAGTCATGTTGTGAGTGTGTTCCCTTTCCTGTAGTGTGTTATAGGTTTGTGTGCATGTCAATGGTCTGCAAAGGCTAGTAGAGACATGGTCTGCTAAGGTCCCAGTAGAGACACTACATACTGATATACACCTGAACATCAGCAGGAGAGGACTCTTTAAAGTAGAGACACTACATACTGATATACACCTGAACACCAGCAGGAGAGGACTCTTTAAAGTAGAGACACTACATACTGATATACACCTGAACATCAGCAGGAGAGGACTCTTTAAAGTAGAGACACTACATACTGATATACACCTGAACATCAGCAGGAGAGGACTCTTTAAAGTAGAGGACACTACATACTGATATACACCTGAACATCAGCAGGAGAGGACTCTTTAAAGTAGAGACACTACATACTGATATACACCTGAACATCAGCAGGAGAGGACTCTTTAAAGTAGAGACACTACATACTGATATACACCTGAACATCAGCAGGATGAGGACTCTTTAAAGTAGACACTACATACTGATATACACCTGAACATCAGCAGGAGAGGACTCTTTAAAGTAGAGACACTACATACTGATATACACCTGAACATCAGCAGGAGAGGACTCTTTAAAGTAGAGACACTACATACTGATATACACCTGAACATCAGCAGGAGAGGACTCTTTTAAAGTAGAGACACTACATACTGATATACACCTGAACATCAGCAGGAGAGGACTCTTTAAAGTAGAGACACTACATACTGATATACACCTGAACATCAGCAGGAGAGGACTCTTTAAAGTAGAGACACTACATACTGATATACACCTGAACATCAGTAGGAGAGGACTCTTTAAAATAGAGACACTACATACTGATATACACCTAGAAATTAGCATACGATGTCAACTTTAACAAATATTTGGGTTTTAAATCTTTTGGGTCTTGTTTGAGAGTTGTTTGTAGCCAGCTAACTATTTTGTTTGTCCTGATTTGTATACTGAAAGAAAAATCCACATTCTTTTCAACTATTTCCCCAGTCAGTAGTGACTAACCGGGGATTGTCATCTCCTGAAGACACAGATCTTCTCCTTTAACAACTGTTTTTCTATAAGATCTAAACCTTTTGTTGTTTGACGAACAACGAACGCCAGCAGCTTTTAGTCATGATGAAACTTTTCTTGGCGGCGATTCCTTGTTTCCAGGCGGTGACGTAGCGCTGCTCCCATTCAAAGAATAAAACAGTGCACATTCAAATAAAACCCCTGCTCCCATTGTACCTTTTACTACTTCATTTAACACAAGGACAACTTCTTAGACCCTGACTGATTTCCTCATTACCTTCCTACTATAAATATTGTTCAATCAGGAGAGACGGTTTTGATGTAAGAATACATATTTATTGCCAGGAATACACAAATGAATGTGATGGAGTTTTGGCGATTAGGCCCCGTTGTGCAGGAGTATCATTCGGGAGGGGAGAACTGATCCGATGAAACCCCCCGGGGTCTAGACACTGGTGGTGTTGAATGGATGGTTGGGGTCGGTCTGAAGGGGAGGGGCTTAGCTTGACCCTGGTGGTGGTGAATGGATAGTTGGGTTCGGTCTGAAGGGGAGGGGCTTAGCTTGACCCTGGTGGTGGTGAATAGATGGTTGGGTTCGGTCTGAAGGGGAGTGGCTTAGCTTGACCCTGGTGGTGGTGAATGGATAGTTGGGTTCGGTCTGAAGGGGAGGGGCTTAGCTTGACCCTGGTGGTGGTGAATAGATGGTTGGGTTCGGTCTGAAGGGGAGGGGCTTAGCTTGACCCTGGTGGTGGTGAATAGATGGTTGGGTTCGGTCTGAAGGGGAGGGGCTTAGCTTGACCCTGGTGGTGGTGAATAGATGGTTGGGGTCGGTCTGAAGGGGAGGGGCTTAGCTTGACCCTGGTGGTGGTGAATAGATGGTTGGGGTCGGTCTGAAGGGGAGGGGCTTAGCTTGACCCTGGTGGTGGTGAATAGATGGTTGGGTTCGGTCTGAAGGGGAGGGGCTTAGCTTGACCCTGGTGGTGGTGAATAGATGGTTGGGGTCGGTCTGAAGGGGAGGGGCTTAGCTTGACCCTGGTGGTGGTGAATAGATGGTTGGGGTCGGTCTGAAGGGGAGGGGCTTAGCTTGACCCTGGATTCAGAGGGACGGGGGGTGAAAAGGGGTGGAGGAGGGTTGCGTTGAGTCACCTGAAATGACAGCTGTCAGAGGGGAGAGCAGATTTAAAAGGTTTCGCAGAGCGCTATGATAGGCTTGTGAGAATAGAGCGAAGTGATTGGTTGAGCTGGGGAGTGACGCCCCCGATCACTTATTGAGAGGAGAGAGAGTAGTTACATGGGAATAGTACAGAAGGTCTTCCTGGTTGAACTTGCGCTGAGCTTCATGTGTTGGTCTTCTGATGTAAAGAATGTGTTTTAACCAAAATCGAAAAACATGGAACAGAAAAAGAAAAAGTCCGATGTGGATTTTTAACAGTGCCATTTTAATGTGTGTGCTTGAAAGACAATTGTCTAAACTCCAAACAGCTACAGACTAAAACCTCTCCTGTACATATGTATATTTATATATAAACAATGTCCTGTAAAAAGTAAAAACATACGAAGAAAACACAGTGGTATTTGAAATATGACTCGGGGGAAATGACGGCATTTAAAATATTTATTATGGCTTACAGTTGAAAGGACATCCTGTGTTTTTTACAGATCTATTACTTATTGCCACGGCCGCTCCACTCTGAAACAAGTGAAGGGTTCAGAAACTGGTTTTACAAACACTATGTACAACTTCTCACTTTTTTTCAGCTTTAAGGTTTTTAATCGTCACTGTACAAGCGTCATACCACGTACACCAATCTATAGAGCATTTACTAATTCTTATGTACAAATATATTTGGTAAAACCCTGATTAATCTCAACAGTATTTAAACCAACCTATTCAAAGATAAAACACTTCTCAAAATACTTAATAGCCATAAAAAGAAACTTAAAACCTGCTTTCTTTGATCCAAAAACACGTTCAGTTACTCCTCGGTGCAGTATTTCTCTAAGTACACAGAAATACTGCAGTTTCCACCAGTTAAATACTTTACAACTTATTCTACTGTCCCATCATTAGCAGGTTGTTTAGACCCTGGAATGAGGTAACAGTAAAAGTAACCGTTATTTTTTTATTCCTTTACCAGACCAAAACAAATACTTCAAATACTGTGATAGAATAAAACTGTGGTCCCCAAGTACACAACTGCAGTACAGTGTAACAAGTACGGATAACAAGTACAAATACTAAGAGTCAAAGAGTCGTGGTAGTCTTACATCATGGAGGGAGGGGTTTCACAGCTGGGGGGGTTAGAGGATGGGAGCTGTTCACTTGTTGTTGTTGTTTTCATGCAGGATCCAAATGTCCTCGTGTGATTGGCTGTTTTCGTTCATGTTGTTGTTGCGGTAGTAGTTGTTGTTGCTGCTGCTGCTGCTGCTGCTGTTTGGGGGGGGGGGGCGCCTGTTTTGTCCTGCTGCGGATCGGGGGGGTTCGGGTCTGAAGCCCCGCCCCCCCCCTGCTGCTGCTGGGGACAGGGAGCTGGGATTTGGAGCGGGGGGCGGGGCCTGATCGTCGCTCGCTGCTCTGCACGGCAACCGGGCTGCAGGGGGTGGGGGCGGTCTGAAGAGAGGAGGAGATATCAAGTGAGTTTGAGACATTTTTAATCGCCTAAAACTACAACTCCCAGAGTGCACCTGTGACATTTTAACTGACTCATACTGCCTGTGCTGCAGCACCTCTTTTCACCCTCTGTCTGAAACCAGAGCCCAGTCTGCTCTGATTGGTTAGCTGGCCGGCTCTGTTGTGATTGGTCAACCACTTAGAGATGTCCCGCCCCTTAGCCTATCACGTACAATGTGTTGGAGCGCTAGCCAATAGAAGCTCACATAGTGTTGTCAGTATGATCGGGAAGTAAAAACTGAACAAAAAATAACTGAATCAAAGTTGTTTCTTGTAAAGCATTAATCTAATACATTTCGTTATCTGATAGTGTCATAAATAGTGCATTTTTGTTAGTGTATTTTAAATGTCCTGTCCTTTTTTAGGCTTTACCACCCAGGCCTGATGGTTCTGGGTGGTAAAGCCTAAAAAAGTTTTCCGTCTTAGTTACTGGAATGAATTATTTGCTATTCATGTGCGTTACTATATACAGTAAATGACTAAAAGCTGCTACTGCACAACACAGCTGTTACTAACCCTGCAGTTATGATATATTACAGTACAGCTTTACAACTGCTAATACGGGACAGGCCCATTATGTGTGAGGTAACGCTGAAAACACACACATGATTAAAAGTCGTACAAAACAATCACACGCTCATTTCAATATGAGTCAGCAGCTTGTGGAGCGATACTGATGAGAGAGGAGTGGAGTTAGTTACAAATAAATGCTGTGTCTGTGTTTTAATATCAGGAAAAGTAAAGTAACACGTAATGAGATAACAGATAATGTTAATAAGACTTTAATATGTTCCCTTACTTCTAAAAATGTACCTACTTTTTTAAACCTGACCAGTCTACTCATTTTATTTTGCCTTTTTATCTACACTGCCCCTTTTTTGTGACCACAAATAAAGGTTTTCCGATTCTGATATCAATATTGTTTTAGATTATGCATTTAATAAGTGTTGTCTTTTCGTAGTGTCATTACTGTAAAGTGAAGTCATTTCCTAACTTATTGTACCCCAATTACTGAAGTGTATTAATCAACATTTTCATGTGTAAATCGATCCAATATTCAACCTTACAATATCGTCGAGTTATTTGGTAAAAAATGTTGTGATATTTGATAAATCCCATTTCACTAAGCCCTTGTTGGAGATTAAAAATGTCTTATTTGCTGTATTCTGTTTCCATTAAGTGCTGGGATTTATCAACACAGGTTAACTACAGTAACATATATTAATTTCCATGCTGTCAGTGATTGATCTATATGTCCGTCCCCCTCACCGTCTGGACGGGCGTTTCCCGCTCGGCCTTCTGGGAGGAGCTGGAGAACAGGATCAGGTCGTCTTTGGTCTCAGAGATCTGTGGGAGGAGAACGAGATCACACGTTAAAGGTCACCTATTATGCAAAATCCACTTCTTCATGTCTTTTCTACATCAACATGTGTCCCCTCTTCTTCATGTCTCTTCTACATCAACATGTGTCCCCTCTTCTTCATGTCTCTTCTACATCAACATGTGTCCCCTCTTCTTCATGTCTCTTCTACATCAACATGTGTCCCCTCTTCTTCATGTCTCTTCTACATCAACATGTGTCCCCTCTTCTTCATGTCTCTTCTACATCAACATGTGTCCCCCTCTTCTTCATGTCTCTTCTACATCAACATGTGTCCCCTCTTCTTCATGTCTCTTCTACATCAACATGTGTCCCCTCTTCTTCATGTCTCTTCTACATCAGCATGTGTCCCCTCTTCTTCATGTCTCTTCTACATCAACATGTGTCCCCTCTTCTTCATGTCTCTTCTACATCAACATGTGTCCCCTCTTCTTCATGTCTTTTCTACATCAACATGTGTCCCCTCTTCTTCATGTCTCTTCTACATCAGCATGTGTCCCCTCTTCTTCATGTCTCTTCTACATCACCATGTGTCCCCTCTTCTTCATGTCTCTTCTACATCAACATGTGTCCCCTCTTCTCCATGTCTCTTCTACATCACCATGTGTCCCCTCTTCTTCATGTCTCTTCTACATCAACATGTGTCCCCTCTTCTCCATGTCTCTTCTACATCAACATGTGTCCCCTCTTCTTCATGTCTCTTCTACATCACCATGTGTCCCCTCTTCTTCATGTCTCTTCTACATCAACATGTGTCCCCTCTTCTTCATGTCTCTTCTTCATCAACATGTGTCCCCTCTTCTTCATGTCTCTTCTACATCAGCATGTGTCCACTCTTCTTCATGTCTCTTCTACATCAACATGTGTCCCCTCTTCTTCATGTCTCTTCTACATCACCATGTGTCCCCTCTTCTTCATGTCTCTTCTACATCAACATGTGTCCCCTCTTCTTCATGTCTCTTCTACATCAGCATGTGTCCCCTCTTCTTCATGTCTCTTCTACATCACCATGTGTCCCCTCTTCTTCATGTCTCTTCTACATCAACATGTGTAGGGATGGGTATCGTTAAGGTTTTAACGGTACTACTACTTTTATCGGTACCGCTTATCGGTCCGGTCTTTTAACGGTATTCTTATCGGTTCTTTTGGAGAGAAAAATGAGGTAAACTAACTATATGTTGTATGTCAGGGACTACGGATGGAAATTAGCTCAAAGCTAAAATCCGGCATATTTACACTTGAAGCATTATTTGTCTAAAGTGTTCATTAATGTGCATTGTCCCTATTCAAATAAACAATTAAATGAAAATTAACAAATTGTGAACAAAACTAACATTGCTTTTTATTTAAATGAAATACATAATATTTCACATCAACAGAAACAACAATGTTTTAACAAATCATATTAAATAATCTGATGACAGAACTGTGAACAGAATGGCTGAAACTTTAACAAACTAAATAACTCAGTTACCTCTAATCATTAACCCATGTTTGAATCATTGAGTTAGCTCCGTGTGTTGCTGCTAGCATACATAATATACCTGACGTGGAAACGTTACTCGTGGATGGGGCTACAGCGCTACTAGAAAGACAGTCGAACCCGGTGCATTTCTCCGTCTGAACGTGGTGCACTTTTGCAAGATGTTTAGACAAATTGCTCGTGTTACCGCCCTGACATGCTAAACTCTTATTGCACTTTAAGGCAACGAGCAACGAGCGAGACGGGTAAAGTTGAACCACACCTCGGAGCGCGTTCTCTCCGCCATCTCCTCCGTGTGTGTGTGTTGCTGCATGTAGCAGCTGCGTGTGTGTAAACTGCCCCGCCCCCCTCGCAAGCAGGCGGGGGAGAGAGATCTCTCGTCTGGATTGGAGAGATCGGAAATACAAAAAATGACGCATTTTGCAGTCTTTTTGCGTATTAGAAACGGAGTTGGCGACACTAAAACTGCAATATAATGTTTGTGTAGCAATAATACACATGACATATTTTTTAGATGTCTCCAGTACCGATAAAAAGACCGATAACGTCGGAGCTTAACGGTACCACGGTCTTTAATAATTCAGCCCCGGGGCCCGTTTAATACCGGGGCTCGGTACCCATCCCTAAACATGTGTCCCCTCTTCTTCATGTCTCTTCTACATCAACATGTGTCCCCTCTTCTTCATGTCTCTTCTACATCAACATGTGTCCCCTCTTCTTCATGTCTCTTCTTCATCAACATGTGTCCCCCTCTTCTTCATGTCTCTTCTACATCAACATGTGTCCCCTCTTCTTCATGTCTCTTCTACATCAACATGTGTCCCCTCTTCTTCATGTCTCTTCTTCATCAACATGTGTCCCCTCTTCTTCATGTCTCTTCTACATCAACATGTGTCCCCTCTTCTTCATGTCTCTCCTACATCAACATGTGTCCCCTCTTCTTCATGTCTCTTCTACATCAACATGTGTCCCCTCTTCTTCATGTCTCTTCTACATCAACATGTGTCCCCCTCTTCTTCATGTCTCTTCTACATCAACATGTGTCCCCTCTTCTTCATGTCTCTTC